CGATAAACAATTTGTTTAACTGAATCAAATGAGTGGTGTAAAGCTATTTAGACTCCGCCTTGCTCCAAGGAGCAGCTTATTTTCACAGCTCCATAAGCATAGTCTGCAAATCACACAGCAAACAGCTGAGTAATTCGAGTATTACAGGATTCACACAGGCCGATTCCCTCAGGCAGTCTGCCAACAGGAACGCACAGTCCAGGTACTCCTGAGGTGTACGATTCCACGGCTGGCAGATTGGCAGAGAAGCTCACTGACAGATGAGCCAGTTCCGCGCATGCAAAGGCATACAGCTCAATTCAAATGCAGGTGGTTTGACATAACAGCATGAAATGTCTCTGAGGAGCCGTTTCAAGAGCTACAGTGCTGATACTAAGTTTTCAGAACGTTTCAAGTTTTCCTCAGTTTGATGTGTTTCACACTTGACAAAGACCGAGATATTTTTCTTTCTAATCAGTCAACTCAAAATTCTCGAGTCAAGACAGTATAAAGGAGACAAAAATATCCCCTTTTTATAGAAGACAGAAGCCCTCTAATGACACAAATTAACTGTAGCACAAAAAACAGATGCTTCTTCAACTGCGTTTAGCTGAATTCACTGGACTTAGTAACACCACCAGCTATTTATATAATTCCCAAATGTTCATGGTGTCCAAATCTGTTTGTTCACTCAGTCATGAGGTCAATATAACTGCAGAGCTGTGAAACAACATCCTATCAACACTCAGATGAGGGGGAGAGTAAAAGAAAATTAATCTTGGAAATTCAAACTGTGAAAAAGGAAAACAACGTAAAGGATCTCCCCAAGAATTTAGAGTTACCAGAAAATATCTGTGTTGAGCTTTAAAGTGCCTTTCAAAAAATTGGGAAAAAGATGTAAAAGAATGGAAATTAAGTTAAGAGGCAATAAGTGGATTAGGGGATTACTGCTTTAGAAACAAGTGGTGAAAAATATAGTCAGATACTACGCCTTTGAAATTTTGTGTGCAAAAAATGCCAAGTCAGTAAATGTAAAATGAACTGATTCTTACACTTCACTAAGCTGATGCTATTGTGAATAACCTGAAACTGCAGTTTGACAGCAGAAATGACAAATGCAGTGCTAAGTGTGTTAAAAAACATAAACGAACAAAGCAGATAAATGCATAACAAGTTACAGTAACCAGATAGCAGTGGTCATTGCATCTGCAAATTTTGCATAGCCTGCAGGTGTTTCTTTATATCTACACATGCCTGCCACACGAGCACAATATGCATTTCACATTGATGGTGTTATTGCCCTTTCCAATCACGTATTCCAAATAATTACAAAAATAAAAAACAACAAAAAAGCTCTATTTTCCCACATACAACAAAAAATAATTGTAATAGTAGTAGTACTACCATGGTATTTTCTAAGCTTTGGTTTTTATTGTAAATTTGATTCACTTTTTTTTCTGTTTATCAGTAACCAAACACAAGTGTTGTGGCTTTACAAATAAGGGACTATAGCTCCACATGCAGGGATCACACTTGGAGGTGCGATACAACCATACTCATTTTGTAAGTCATAAGAGCCCACGAGAAGCAAACACTGAAACTAATTATAGAGGCAGAGAGGGGAAAAAAGCAACTATGTTCTATGAATTTCGGGGTAAAAATGGACACTTTTCTCTGCCTTTCACCTGCAATTATGTTAGCAAGCCCATATGCACACAAAGTTGGGGGGGTGAACAATTCTAACCACTGTGCTTAATTGCTGAATAGTTTGGGGAAATGTATCATTTACACGCTATATCAGTGTTGAGTGTTTTCATTTCACAATAGATTGTTGTTGAGAGCAGAACATGGTGATTGAAGGCGCTAAATTGTCAAGTATAGAGGGCTTGGTTTTTAGGTGCTGTCAGCATACCAGCATAATTTCAACTGAAGTGCATTCTTTTCATCAGGCACTCAGCACTGTGGCTGCTGATGGCAGAGGCTCACAGGTCAATTTTGAGCTAACAATAAATGAAATGCTTTAAAGTGATACATTTCTGCACAGCAGCTGAACCTTTCAGTTCACTATTGTTTGGCAGAGACATTACAAAAAAGCATGGGAATCAACATAAACATCAAAGTTGAAGGAAGAACACCTCGATGTCAGGAGTTCGTACTGTAAAGATGTGTGCACGCGTGTCTTTGTGTCAACGTTCATCTCATTCATGCTGGTAGCTGCAATCCAACACAGCACTAAGAGATCAAACCACTGGGTTAAGGATATGCAGTTTTAGCCTCTCAGTCGTGAGGTTTGTTCTGTTTTTAGCGGGAGTTTTTTTTCTTTTATCTTTCAAAAACTGATGTGTTGTGGCACATTTTTAATGGGCATACTGTGCCTTGATGTTGAACAGAAGTAATTTACAACACCGATCAGCAGAAGGTAGTGGAAATAAAAGCTATTTCAAAACAATTAAAAATGTATGTAGACAGTCGCATACTGTCAAGTAGCAAAGGCAAACACAGGTCGATTAGCAGCTTTGAATACATCTTAGTTTGTGCTCAGCTTGCCTGGGAGGGGACAACTCAGCATAAAGAAAGCATATGGAATGTATGTCACTAAATGCCAAGCTTTTACATCAATTTGCTTCTGTGCTATTCACACACAGAATTTATTCATGCAACCAAGTTCACAGCAAGACTGTTTTCACCGATATATTTCTTTTTTCTTTTGTCAGACATTGTAACTGGTCTGAAATTGTAACTTAAAGGTTGACCATTAACACAACGTGTCAAACAATAGTTACTATCAAACCATGATGAGGCTGTGTTCTGCTCTCAGAAAACCCCAGTCATATAAATGCAGTGTCATGTGGGAGAGTACAATAGTCAAATAATTGAAAACGATTATGTCTATCCAGACATTTCAGCTATATTTACATATGTGATGAAAGACACAACGTCTACAATGTTTTGCACTGGAGCTGGAAAGAAAAAGAGTGGTTCACACAGACAAAACAATAATTGCACTCAAATCCCACGAAACATTTGATGATTAATGAAAATGGATATATGTGAAGTGTTAAATGGCTAATCGATGCCAAAGTGGTCTTGGTAATATCATATAAAGTCTTATAGCTAATGTTAGTTAATTTCTCCAAAAGAACCATACACAAAATATGCTATTAACTAAGATAAATGAGTACTGACATGATGAGTTGTTGATATGCTTCCCTTAAAATGATGGTACTGTTTTAAAAAGAACATAACTGCTCTCTAAAATGATCATATTTCACACCTCAATCAATTTGCTTTAATTTCAAAATCTAATTAAAATAATTTCACTGCCTAATACCAGCAAGAAAAGTATTCCTTGTGAACTGATTTTGTTCTACTGTCTGAATAAAAGCCCAGATTTACAAAAAAGAAACACAAAAAAACAAATAAGGTGAAAGAAGGGTCCTAAAGTTCCAATGACTGTGTACATTTTCTACTTAGCCTTGCTGATTCAAAACATCCTGCAACTTGATTAAAGAAATATGGGCTGTTAATATGGGGACATTTTAACTGATGTCTTTGGGAGTTCAATTCAAGGGTGTAAACACACCAACTAGGCTAAACTGGTAGTGTCAGTCTTTTGTTTTTTCTTCTCCAAGGAAAAGATGCCTGCTTTTTTAATACATGAGAACATGGTTTTAAATAGAACCCTAATGTTAACTAAAGCCTTTCCAAGTCCTGCTAGGTTTGAACTTTTCTGTCAAGGAACAACTTGTAAGAGAGCAACTTGTGGAAAATTATTTTCCAAAAATGATCAATTAACTATGGAAAGTGGAGGAAAACATCTTATGGAAAAAACAAATGGCAGTCAAATCTATAAAAAAAAGGAAAGACAATGGGAAAATATAATAATGCGGAATTAATCGCCACTAAATTATGAACCCATATTTACGTCTGTATGTGTGTGTATGGAGTGGTAATTATTAAGCAATTAACAGAAATCTCTGAACAAGATTTCGAAACACCAACCAAAACATTGAAAAAGAGGTCTACAGGTCCTACCTTGGTGTCCTTGTGTGTCATGATGGCTGATAGAGCTGGCCTCTGCTGCCTGGCTGCTTGAATTGGTTTGTTGGTCAGTCAGTGTCCACAGGCCACGTGTGTTTCGATAGTTGTTGATCCGCTCTTCCTTTCTGCGCTCACGCCACATCAGAGATGCTGCTTTAGACTGATGACGGAACATGAAAAATAAACATTTTTAGCATTTATGAACACTAAAATAATTCAAATACATTTACAATTCAATCGACTCATTTAAAAAAATAAAACACACAAAACACAAATTGTAACATGAAAAGAAATTGATGACCTGACTTTACTATTTATATGTCGAAATACCTAATTCATTTATGCTTAAATACCATATGACTGTGTCCACTGGATGGCAATGTAGTTCACATCAAAATTACCCATATTTTAAATGTTTTAACCCCAAAATAAATACACATGAAAATGGGACACAAAGTAAGAGGCTTGCGGAATTCATTTGGAACAAGTCTTTGTCATAGGTCTTCATTTGGCAGGAAGTACAATCCCAATGCTCAGTGAGTGTTTCTTTTTATGTTTTGTTTTTTTTAAGTGAGCACACATGTGGTCATTTCAATGACCCCTGTAAATTTTAGCTGAGGTGAATTTTTTTTTCTGTTCGTGTGGTTGGCCTTGGGGCAGATTTAATGGGTTTGAGAAATAGGGATTTAAAAGTAATCTAAGCTGCATATGAATCATTTAAGGAAGCGGATGCATATCTTTTTCTTCACGACTGAAGCCTCTGGAGATCTTTCTAAACTTGTGCAGGTCAGTGAGTCAACACAGGAGTGTTAGTAGGTGTCCCACAAATTGAGAATCAGTTCTGCCGCACTGAGTTAGCTACAGTATAATAATTCCTCAGATTGTTGCCTTGACATTCAACCAGTTCTTATAACCAAGCCACAAAGCAACAGAGCCAATATAGATAAATGCACATACATTCAATATCTTGTCCTATCTTTTTTTGTGTCTCTATTCTGCTTCCATAAAGTATCTTAGATCCTTTTTTGTGTTGTTTTCCTCATCTCCAGGTGGTGGGTCAAATCGATAAACTAACGTCTGACATTGACTTTGACCTGGAGCCGGATGACTGGACGGTGGCCACAGCCAGCAGTACGTCCAGCAGTGAGCGGGGTCTGGGAGAAGCCTTCAGACTGGACTTCCTCAATGCAGACGTGCTTTCTGACAGCTGGGAGTTCTGCAGCTACTTAGAGGCGGCGGGTGCGGCCGCTCGCAGATGTAGTGAGCAACCTGGGGACCCGCGACAGGAGCTGGGCCGTGGGACTATCCCCACCCAGACCCAGACCCCCACCCCGCCCCCCACCACTGCCTCAGTCTACTCCCAGATGAATGGTGGGCTGCCCATCCCCAACGGACCACGCATCATCACTCCAGATTCATCCAGCGAGGAGGCCAGCAGCTCCACGTACAGCCAAAAAACCTCCCGCACCTCTGGCACAAGAGAGCGAGTCCGTTTCAGTGACAAAATTCTCTACCACGCGTTGTGCTGTGATGACGATGAGGACGAGGAGCAGGAAGAGCTACAAGAGGACAAAAGCGGCTGTGCTACACCAGATAGCGATACTGAGCCCAGCCTCCTGACTGGCTCACTTGCCCCAAAACGTTCTTCCTCTGAGCACTCGCTCCTTCATAACTGTCTGGATCCTTCCTTTGTCTCCTCGCCGGTGAAGGCGATGACGGGATCTCACACGTTACCCAGAAAAGGTCTCTTAAACCCTGGCTGCCGCAAAAAACTGTTACGAAACAGCAGCACACAAACTGTCTCAGACAAGAGCACCCAAACTGTACTGCCCTATATTCCAACCAAACAGAAAACAAAGGACCACTGAAGAAAAAAAAAGAAAAAAAAGAGATGTTACATGAATCTCGTGAAGAGAACTGTGCATTATTTACTATTAAATACATAGCTCATAGATTAATACACAAATAAATAAATTACTAAATAAATAAATGATATATGGGAAAAATCACTCGACTACCTACAGTCATTTTGAGGCTCAGGGAAAACATGAGGGGCGCAGATCAATAAGATGAAGGTTATTGGGGGACCAAAAGGTTCGCACCAGTTCTCACATTACAAGATTAATTAAGTGAACTTTCTCAGTTAAGAATTTGAAAAAGAAAACCTTTTTACCAGAACTATTTAAATGCTCAAAATCAGAAGGGATTAATAGGTCTTTTTTCCTCATCACACAATAGTAGAAGTCACAAAAAGAGAAAAGAAAATGCTTGTTCTTATAATGTGGATACAAAATGTTTCTCATTCTGTACTCTGAATATGTATAAACATTGTCTTTTTTCATGTACAAGTAATTTCAAATGTCAAGGGGATTATTGCTTTCCAGCAGGGAAATGTGTCTAGATGCGTAGTCAAGCCTCTTCTCTCTTTGATGTCAACAAACGGCTCTGAGCTGAGAGTTAAAAACAGGAGAATTTACCTGCCCTTGATTTTACAAAACGTCCCATTGTGGCGTCTTTTTGGTCTGCAGCAGA